CCCCCCCCCCCCCATCACACACACACACACTTACAGTTCTTATAGTCTTTTATTTTTTAATTTCTAGTTTCTTTTATTAATTAATTAATTAATTTGAAATCATTTTGAATAGATAAAATATTTCACCTACATGAACAGCACCGTCACTGTATCTATGTATAAAAACCAATTTGAAATACACTGAAATCTCAAGAAGTGTTTAAAGAACGAATAAAAGGGATCTTCAGCACCATTTATCCGAATGGATTAAGAATTTATTAATAAAGAACAGAATGAAGGAAAAAGAAAAAAATAGACGCAGCGATTCCTTTGAATTAAGATATTCATGCTATCATGTTAAGTATAAGACTGACCAAGGATTGACTTATACCAATTAAAGCACGATCTATTTCAATCTATTTCAATCAATCAGTGCACTTGAACTGAGCTCCTCTCGAGTCTCCTTTAAAATATTTGGATTTTCCCCAAACATCGTCTGGATTTCCGCCCCGTTAGTAATGGTTACCTTGGTGATGATGGATTACGGCTTTTCAACGCACAGCACATACCGCTAACGTGGCACAGCCCTTGAACACGTTTAAATCATTTGATGGTTATTTTGACATTCAAAAAGATTCTTCCTGTTAGTGCGTGTCACGGATCAGGACTCCAGCACTACATCCAGGACATAATTCTAAGGCAGTAACCTTATGTTACTTGATTGCATTATTGCAGCTGGTCTTTCTGGTGAAGTTATCTGTCGAGATAGTTTTACCGCTTTGACTCGATAATCCCCAGATTTTTAAGCACGAAATTTGCACCTAATACGTATTTTTTCCTAAATTCTTCCATGACATTGCACAGAAGAATGCGAACTACTTTTTAAAGCAGATAGGCACAGACATAATTATCCTTAGCCAACTTTAACATGAATCGAACATTAGCATTGTGTAGTTGCGTAACTGCAATTGTTTCAGCAAGAAAAATGTCATCCATTTCTTATCCCACGCGCACATCCATTCTGATTAATTTTTTTTCTCCAAACCTTAATTGACAGAACATACAGCAATTATAAAGGCTAAAATCCTATCTATAACTTACAGGTCACTGTCTTAATAACAAATCATACATAAGCACCCGCTAAATCTCTAATATTAGCACGTCAGTATGCTCTGATACCCCGTTCACACTACAGTTGCCAAAATGCGCATTTCTATAATTCGGATTTTTCGTAAGGAATCCGATTCGGTATTGCGTTCACACTCGCTAAGCGAATCCGAATCCCACGTTGAAAATTTCAGGTTTAACTTCCTGTTTTGAACACTCGCGCATGCGCCGCACAGGGAATCTTAAAATATCAACAAAAATTTGTGACGACAAATGCAACTCAAAAGACATTCCAGCATTCTTGAGAAGTATAAGGTGGCAAAATAAGTTTGTTTCCTCATGTTGTAGTGAGTGGTGACCTCCAAATACGTTTGGTGCAATCGCTAAAGTAATAAACCAGCGTTCATAGATACCCGCACTTATCTGCACACATGCGCAGTAAGATCTGTACAGGTGTCGATTCCGGTAAGTTATCCGGATCGCGCTTAGAAATCCACCTCGCTTGCAGGATTTTGAAAATGCGCATTTTCAAAATCCTCTTGCGTTCACACTACTGCATTTATTCGAATTGTGACCTAATTCGCAACTTATCCGGATAACTGAGCGTAGTGTGAACGGGGTATGAGATATGAAAGTAGCAGACGATTAGGAAGCACATATAGTCATTAATTACTGTAGTCCAAATAAAACAATGACAATGATAATATGTGTCTTTGACATACAGTATGACCTTCAAATCCTTTTATCTAAAAAAATCCTGCAGGTTCATCACCATCGCCCGTCTTATCCCTTCCCTCTCTCCCCGCTCCGGAATCTGCCGCTCTTGGCTTAGAGCAGCAATGTGACGTCATCTCTGGCATTTCTGATCTGAAGCATCTCCAGGAATGCCAGACCAGCGCCTCCGAGAGCCCAGCCTCTCAGAACAGCACAGAGGAGGGAGAGCAACACCGAAGAGAGGGGGAACAGCCTCCTCCTAAAGACAATCTACCTAAGAAATCAGGTAACTTTTACATATTGAACTTTCAATTCTATTCAAAACTTTGATATGGCACCAGAAAGTTGTCAGGTGTTTCGTGTTTTTTGGGCGATGTTTGATTTACCTACATTCCAACCCGTAGGATGTGGCAGCTGTTTTCAGGTAATAAGTCTTAAGGCAATGCTTTCCCAGATAGACGGACCATTCATTTTTTCTATCTCTCTCTATAGCTAGCTACTTTAGAAATATTCGATATTTTACCTGCTGAAAGCTGATTTGTTTCGCACTTAAGCTGATATTTACCAATTATTGTTTATTATTGGTGTAAAGGTCAACGGGGCTTTTATGTACTGTTCCATTTGCAACGGAATTTTTCATTTATGCTGTTGACATGTTTTGCATCATTTTGCTTTCTGAAAAGTAGCAAACAGAGTTTAAACAAACGAAAAATTAAGTTTAAATTTCAATTGCTGATATTTATGGTATGGAATACTTGTCATTTAGTGACATGCACTTTCTAGTGTGTTAAAACTGTTAAGTCTGTGCTGCAGTTAGAATATGGAATATACATTCGGCAAATCGTCCATTTATTGTTTCGAGGAAATGCTGTTTTGTGGGGTTTAATAATGAAGGTGCCAAATTATATAACTGTCTTTTAAAAAATCAAACCCTAAGTTCTTTTAGATTCCAAAGGACGTATATAAAACACAAGAGACTATGTGATTCAACACTTTAAGTATTTTCAACTGTTTAAGATTTCAGATGGTTACTTTATACAATAATCACCTGTAAATGATGATGAGAAAATGGAAAGTCACTGTTTCGTCCAGAAGTGATAACAGATTGATTTTGTTGATTTATTACCCTTTCGCCCACGAAAACCTTATAGGAGCAACGGTGTTTTGGTGCGTTAGTCGCATAATTTAGGTCCCATATGTTTTCACAGGTAGTCTTCTGTTTTGCAAAGTTTACAACGTGCTAGCCAGCTGCCTGTTTATTTAAACCAATTAAAAGAGAAGCAATCTATTTCAAGATATAGATGTGTTTATAGGTGCTTGCAATGGCCCCAATTATTTGTGAAGGGGTGGGACCACTATTTGAGTTTTAAAAAAAATGGTTCGTTCTTATGGCTTTTTTTCAACGTTGAAGACAGGGCGGTTGAGGGGGGGGGGGGGGCGAGAGTGATTGTTTTCTGCGTTGCAGATAACTGGCAATGTTCCAAATGGGTAAATTTACGAAAACGATCTTATCTGATGAGAAAAAAGCCCTAGAAACTGACAGAAAAACTGAAACCCACTTGATAATTCAAACAACATTTTTTACCCGTTATACACAGTGTTGTTACCAGTGCCTACCTGGAGGAGAAACTTTATTTTTACCTGAGTGTGGCTTCAAGTCTGTTTAAACCAATCAGCATGCAACCCACACAGAATTAGCCCCGTATGATACTTGATCTGGTCCATCTGCGGGAACTCTTCTCTTACTCAAGCAGCCTACGTAGATAGAGCAATATATTCGGCTGCTGGCACGATCTTGACTTTGGATGTTATATAGAAGTCATGGGGGAAGCATAGTCAGGCAGACAGGTCTAATTAGACGGCAGATTATTAGCGCGCCGCTTCCCCCGTCTTCCAAAGCCTGTAACAGTTTCTGCTTTCTGCTTTCTTTTAGCCCCTATATTCATCGTCAAAATGCCCGGTTCGAAGGAGGAGGTGCGACTTGGGGAAACAAAACGCTTCGAATGTCAGGTCGTCGGATTTCCCCGACCTGAGATCAGATGGTTTAAAGATGAAGTGGATATAACCGAAAACCCAAGATACAAATTCAATTTTCACGATGATGGAGTCATATCCCTGCTTATCGAGAACATATCTGCCAAAGATGAAGGAGCCTACAAGTGTCTTGCCAAGAACACTGAGGGAACGGCCTCTACAACGGCATATCTCTTGGTTAAAGGTAAGGAAAGAACATAAAGTTTTAAAAATATATTTCTGTTCTCAGCACTGCATTGTTAAATACAGAACTATTTTAATGATTCATGTTTAAGAGATAATTTTTATTTCCTTAAGACAGCTAATGAGTCTATACAAAGTTGGAAACTAAACAGCAGCTACACATATCTGAAAAAAATATGGGAAAAATGTATCGGTTTATATTTACAAAAGGTCTTTGAAATGAATATAGCAAGAGATGAGTGCCATTCTCTCATTTCTTGAACGCCTACAAACACCTGAAAAACATATTTCCTTCACCTGTATCAGCTACGGTATCTCGAAAATCTAAACGAGAGCACTCGACCAAATCCTACCTTCCAAATTCAAAAAAAAAAGAAAGGCAGAAACAGCTAATAGACCATGTCTTGAACTTTTATCAATTATTACTCATAAATTGTGCAAATGGTTCTAATTGTAATTAATCTATATTTCATTATTATGTTCAATCATGAAAACTACCAGATATATATTAAATACCATAAATCTCATCTGGAGTCACAAGACCTGCGCATCATGCCCTAACATTTTTTTCCTTTTTTCTTTCCTCTTCGGGTGTATTCATATCGTGCATCTTAAATGCCACTCTTTTGCGCACACTGGGCTTGAAATATCACATCGCAGTCGTTTCATATTACCAAAGCTTGTTATGTTCCTCCCGTGTGGAGAAGAACCAAAATCTCATGTTTATATTCTTTTAATCAACAAGGTTATCTTACAATAAAGCTGCGCCATCATGGCCGAATTTAATAAATCTCATTGCGCATCGAGTACTGAGGTATATGTCTTAACATATTAAATTATTTTTACGTGTTTGGATACTCCCCATATATATAATTGCAACCCAACGATTAAACACTGGTGGAGCCCGTAAACTCACCTGGGTTATTATAATAATAAAAGCGTCGGTGCTGTCAAAGCTGCTTTCTTTCAGGTACCTTGTTAGTCATATATCCTACAAGGGACGTTCAAAGCTCAGATTTTGTGATGACTGCATCATTATGGGGATATGAATGGCTGAAAATAGATGACATCAAATCACATCTCTGTTTTTCAAAACTGTCCCCGGGATGTATAACTATATTGTTTGCCATTTTATAACCAAGAGCATAACACTGCTTAGTATACGCGTATGCGTGAAAGCATTCAATCTTAGTTTTCTGTCAAATTCAAAACCCTCTGTTTTCGATTCGCAAATGCCGTTTAAGTGTTTCAAAACAGAAAAAAGGCAAGATGCAAAGTTTTTAATAAACGGTAAACAGTGCTAAAACCATATGTCAAATATAAGAAAATGCACATTTTATTGTTGTAACATTATTTTATACCTTTGGAATTATCAGCGTCAAAGGGTAAATGTTTTTGACGTGGATCATCAAGGCACGCTTACCACCTGCAACAGGAAGACACGGCGGTGGCCAGTGGTGCTCTTTTTCAACATGATTGATGTTGATGCATTTACAGGCTTCGTCATTTGGCCATGGAACTCAATGATATAAAGGGTCTTAGTAAAGAGAAAATGTGATTTAAAAATATTAGCAAATAGATATTAGAATAGCTTATTGATCAACCCAATATTTTTATTCTGATAACAACTAAATATCCAGATACATGTAGAACATTTCCATAAATTGCGGCTCAGTGTACAAAGCATACTAGTAATAGTTTCTACTGCACAAAATGCCATACCCTACTAATTGGAGGATGCCTTCAGAGATTTCAGTGGCCTCTTTCCAAATAATCAGCGCTGAACTTTCCTAGCTGTGGAGGGGATTTGACTGAAAAACAGCCACAAAAATAGGTCTTATAATGCAATGAAAATAAACACACTAAAACATACGTCTTCCAGAAAGTGATAGGTTCAAATATATATATATATACATTTATTTTCGCAAAGATCAACTAAGATATTGCTTAGCGATGGGCACTTCTCTACAAACGCCATACACTGAAATGATATTCTATTTATGAGTGAAAATTGCCTTGAGGTTTTTTCCTATCAGTTCTGATTTATCTAAAAAGATTGCCAAGCAGTGGGACTTATCAGTATAACTGAATTATGTTATGGTATAAAAACCCATCGCGTTGAACATGTGCGCCTTTCCTATATCCTAGAAAGTTGCATAAATCTGGTTATTACACTGTACTGTCAATTCACGGAAACACAGCGGCCTGAAGAAAGCATCTAGGATAGGCAGATAAAGAAAACGATAAGACTGTCAGTTCATTTATGCTTTATTAAAAAACTTTTCTATACAACACACGATGCGTGCTGATTGCATATCTAAATTTGATATTGTTGATATAGCTGCCTTTTCATGACTGCAAGTATTGGTTGTTTTGGCTTTGGAATCGGATTGAAATTTCATACTGATAAATGAAATAATGGTCAAGTACATGCCAACAGAGTTGTAGATCGTGTTAGTATTGGTAAATGTTTAATCAACTATTGCTCACAACAATGATAAAATTAATATCATTCTTAATTATCTTCAGTTGACAAAGACAGACACAAGGACATTTCCATTGATGAGAAAATCGCTTTTAAGTCCCGCCCCCTGTCAATCATTGGAGAAGAAGAAGAGGAGGAGGCTGAGAAACATGACAAAGAATCCACCAAGGAGGAGGAACTCAGAAAACAGCTTGGAAAGAAACCAGTGGCGGCACCACAGTTTGTCGAGAAACCAAATGACATTACTGTCAATGAAGGGGAGACCATCACAATCACCTGCAAGATCTCCGGTACGTCAATTTTTAATTATTTTTTTTCTATTGCCTTTATTAAATGATATCCAAAACCCATTTTCTATGTCAATACTGGTGCCATAGGCGAATCTAGGAGCATAACTTTCTTGATGTTTCATGCTTGCATACGTAAGGCCGTAGCGAGACGATACTATTTTCTATTCTTGTGACTCCACGACTGTGTACCCCCTACATTTCTGAAAACCCTGTAACCAATAATTTTTACCTGCAATAATACCATGCACAAAGACGAGTATTTTTGACAATCGGTTATTTATTCAAATGTTATTAAATTAGTACAAATATTTATGTCAACGACAATCAAATTATTGGCCGATGAACGAGTTAAGGTTGACGTTAGCAGTGCAATTCTCATTGAATACATTGTACGGTTGGTTAGAGAAAGGCAGCGTGAACTTATGGCAGCATAAGGTAAGAGCATCTGGGAACACGTGGGTGGAACTATGGACAGAGCCACAGGCAGTTGCTGTCTTATAGAAAGCAACAATACGACGCCCAGGGGAAGGCAACTTTGCTCCTGCGTTCTCGCACATGACTTGGCCCAATGGCTTCATAGCGCCTCCCGAGAGCACCTTGGAGGATAGAGACATGGATGAAAGCTTTAACTTTGCCAGGCGCTCACAGTCCTTTGGGCATCTTTGCAACACGTTGGAGCACTCAGGGGTGACGCCAGTGTTAACGTTGTTACAGGGGAATAGCTGACGCCGCTTCTTAGATTTGAAGAAAGTTGGATAGACGTGGGTGATTTTCTGGTTTCGGATACCGTCATCAATCCACAGGTCATCTCGTCTCTGCCCGTAGATGAGATCTGGAAGCTGAAGAAGCAAGGGTCCCGTTGTCGTGGACGCTTTCTCTTCGGCATGGAGACTGCACTGACATCTGTAAGGGGCAGACGTACAAGAAATTGATAACTCGAAAAAAATAAGTTCTACACGCCAAATTGGATGTTAAAAGCACAGGGGAAGCGGATATTGTATCAAAGTAAAGTCAGCTGCAAATGATAATCTTTGTGTGCTAAGCTTTCAAAAAATCTTATTAACACTACTCGCAAAATTAAAAAAAAAACGAAATCCAAGATCATGTGTGGAGCATGATAACGACAAGATATGATAATGTATTTTGACGTGGATCACCGGTAATGAACAAATGATCCGAGAAACGCGTTTGGCTTCAGTATTTTAAATAAATGGACAGGGTGAAGTTGGCATTGGCCATGAAGAAAACGTGTCGAAAGCGCGATTAAATTCCGTTTTATTTAGTGTTAGTAAATCGCCTGCTAATGAATAAAATAAGCGTGATTATAACGTACCGTTCTGTCGCCTGTCCGTTTATAAGGCCTGTGAAATAACAATAGAAAAGGATTACATATTTTAAAAAACTCGTTTTTCCTCTCGATTGGAAATGAAATGTTGGAGTATGAAATATTTTCCAAGTATTTTCAACAATTTTCCACTACGTACCGACAATCGCATCTTTGAAGTACAAACTCGGAAATGCTATACATACTTTCTTTTCTGAAAAACTTAATCAGATACACCTCACGTCATTTTAGAACAAACATGACATAAAAATTAATCTTCTAGTAAACAGGCTGATTTGATAACTAATGTAGCTATTCTTATTAGCTTTTACATCGTTTGAAAAACATTAACGAGGCATAATAGACATCAGCACATAATACAGAGAAATATAATATTAGATATGAGGACAACGCACTATACATGTACTAATGCACCCATTTGAATAAACCAAAACTGTTTGAAATAAGTGCGATTGGTGATAACACCTGTACATTAGAGGGGATGAAAATGAAACAAAGTCATGTTGTTTTAGCGGTTACAAGTTATCATTTTCCTTAGTAGGCCTATTTTAAAATGTCTACAACCTAGAAATATGTGTTTGCCAATTAAATTGATATCACGAAACAAATGTGGCTAGATCAGCGCCGTTCTCATATTCTTTTTGGAGTAGAATTCTATTAGGAAAGCATATTATGTTGGTCTTAGCATAAAATTATTATATTCTATTACCCCCATAGCATTCCATCGGTTTCACCATTAAGGATGCTATCTCTTCTTCACCATCCACGTCTCTGACTGACACTTGTTTAACTGGTAGATAGCGCTTATCGTCCAGGTACCCCTCGTCGCTTCGCCATTCATAATCATTTATGTTGCAGTTACAATCCCTTCTAAATTATGAAAAAAAAACAGCATAATGTCCTTAATGAAATATCAATTTTTCTACAGACTTATATTGTTTTCCATACATAATACTCTCGCCTACATTTCCTTCTAAAATATGCAAACAAACAGCAAAAAATACAGTATAATGTTGTCAATCAAACATCAATATTCTACTGATTTACGTTGCTCTTTGTGCATTGTTGTTGGCCATGAGACCACGGCAACATATACCCAAAAAGGGTTGATTTGTAAGACAAGCAAAACTCCAGCGGAGATGGAAAAAACATAAAATATACAGGACACGGGCCTGTACCCAGGGGAGAGTTCGGGGGCTATGAACGAATCGCCATTTTTGCCGGGAAAAGGTCTGCTCTGGGTAAAAATTGATCTTGATATACGAAGGTTTCACGGTAAGGGTTTTACTTTTCAAGTAAAAGAACCTCCCTTTGAAACTGCTGATTACGGACCTGGAACAATACGAGCTATTTTCCAATAAAACTATCGTACTACGTAGAGCGATCCAACTCCGTATGGACTCTCTCGCTGACTGCAATCAAATTAACAGATTAACACACACTTCCTTTTGTTTCCAACGTACGTGTATAATCTCTTGCTTTAATGTACACTGCTGAACGCCATTAATTGGGAATGGGTCCCAAGAAATTGGAAGTAATTGAGAGAGAGAAAATAAGTGAGTAAGTCAGTTTTTTTCTATTATATGATTAAAAGAAAACGTTTCTAACCCTGATTTATCACACCGGCCTTGCACGCCGCATGCGCACTGGGAACTATTGGTCGGAGCCCCACCCCAGTTGGTCATATTCCATCCTTGCCGAGACACCCACCAATGGTCTGAGCCTGAGTGGAAATTATACGCATGATGACAGTGAAGCTGCACGAATTGTCGACATTTACTGGAGACCTTAATGAGACTTTCAATTTGCGCCAATGTTGGCTTATATGTATATGTAATATCATGTGTATGACGACCTTCGTCATAAAAATTTATAGGTCGTGGCGTTTCGCCCCCTTGGTGTGTTATGAGAGTGACGCCCTGGCCCGATAAGTCACCTCTGGTCGTACAAGTGACTTGGAACGGGTCCTCTCCCCCGGGGCCGTCAGGGTCGATGGTATAGACACCTTCCTTAAACTTGTCGCCAGAAAAATGACTTTGCACCTCCCCACACGTTCTGGGAACTACAAGAAATGCAAATTGCAAAAGACGACTTATTTGAGCGATCCATTATCAATTTTTGTAAGTATCTTAACACAGATGTACATTAAAAAAGCGAAAACAAGAAGGAAATTACATCTTTATTTCACGTTTAAAACTTTGACAGGCGCGACTTCGAGTCTTTTCATGGTCAAAATAAATATGTATTGTACATTATTATATACATTTTACTTATTTGCAAGCTGTAGCGTAAATTTTAGAGCCAAAAGGTCCAGTTCGTCTTATTTTGCGTCCGAGTTCCGGAACCCGAGACGAATTCGCCCATTCAAAGAATAAGTAGAAATCACAATCTAATTTTTACCTACCTGCGCTGGGAACTACAGAGACAGCCGGAACAGGAACTCTCTGTAACTGTACATCTTTCACCGCGAGCAGAAAGAAAACCACGAGTAAAAACTTGAAACTCGCCATAAGGATACTTCTGCCTTAATAGGGTCTTAAATGACAGTGGTGAATAATTAGGCCGGGTTCCAAATATTATATGATAATATTCGCCCACACTGAGAAAGACGCCATGTGCAGGCATGCATCAAAGTTTAAGGGCAAGAGTTGAATTGGTCTTGATACTTAAATAGAGGTCTAGATGACACGGAAAGTAACAACCTTATTTTTAACCCTGAAGAGCTCCAGATATTATTAACTTGCTAGGGAACACATTTTTTAACTACACATGTAATATATTAACTTTACATATATACTCCTATATGTCTATATACATAAACACACATGCACCCCCAGTCAGTTACATTACCCCCCCCCCCTTTTTTTTTCTACGAGATGTGAGCGGATCATAGTAGTAGTATAAGTGCCATCAGATGGGAAGATGCTCTGGACATGCCATTTAGGCCTACCCCTCATTGTAATACTGCATGTCCCAATGAGTAAAGTGGTCTGCACCGACCTAAAGCAGTCGTCATTTCCCTAGCCTATTTCAGGAAAATAATAGCCCAAACCAGTTCTATAAAATGTTTGTAAAGGAGGTTATAAAATATTTTGTTTATAGAAAGACGTCTTATTTTTCTTAATTTTCTTGTTTTATTTACTTTGTATATTTCTGTCCAGGTGTGCCGAAGCCCGAGGTGATGTGGTTTAAGGGCGGAGATCCATTGTTCGCTGACGGAGAGAGAATTGAAATTGTTCAGATGGAAGACGAGTACACCCTTACCATTAAAGAAGCCAAACCTTCAGATGGCGGTGCTTTCACTGTAACAGCGAGCAGTACAGAGGGCTCAGTGTATTACAATGTCAGCGTTAGTGTCATTGCTGTGAAGCGAGAGAAATCTCCCACACCAGAAAGGTAAACTAAGCTGCAATTATGACACCGCAGTTCGAGAATAAACTGTTTATGACCCACTTCTTACACGCGGAAAAATTTTTAGATATTGTTTTAATTAAGGTTACTAAGACACCCATTTTTACCTCTTCATAGATATTTAGTCTATAACTGTGGTTAAGCAAGGAGTTATAACTCCTTGGGTTAAGCAAGGATGTATATTCAATATACGTCCTTCGGTTAAGTAAAATTGCCCGCGGTGATTAACTTTGTGTCACGTGACCACCTCGTGACTTTGTTCACTTCCGCCTTCTGGTGTACCAGTAAGTACTAGCTTGGACATAATAACAAATTATTATATCGTTATTATGTCCAAGGTACATGTACTAGTAATCAGGAAAGTTTACCACGTATGTATTGTGAGTTAATAAAGCGATCGAATCTTTAGGGTGGCCTTGCTTCTCCATCTTGCGGTACATAATAGGAAATCCCCCATATAGAAGGAGTGAAAAAGACAGAAGAAACAAAGCCACTATCATATAATAAACAACCAGATGTACTTAGTTTGCTTTCAAAATATGAGCCTTTGAGTCCTAAATCGTGTGGTATTATTACAGGGAGATACTGGAAGTTGCCCCAGAATTTATCAAGCAGCCACTCTCACAGAAGATAATTGAAGCTGAGAAAGTCAGATTTTCTTGTCTGGTACAAGGTAAGGAAAGAATCACAAATCAGTTAATGGAAATTCATTGGATAAATTGTTGAAATGGATTTGTAACAGATCAAAGTTTTTTCTTAAAATATTTTGCAAAACACTTATATATCACATCAAGATAAATGCCAAATAGGTAAGTCATTAAACTACTTATTTATCATTTTTGCTTTTACTAGACCTATTTTGATAAGTGGATAACTATGAAAATATTGGATATATGATTACACATATATTAAAATAATTTATGTCAAATGCAGGTAAACCAGAGCCAACAGTCACCTGGTTCAAAGATGGAAAACTTCTCAAATCTGACTCCCACCGTAAGATCTACAAGGCAGAGGGCCTCCATTTTCTGGAGCTCCCAAAAGCCTCCATTGAAGATGGAGGAGAGTATACCTGTACGGCTAATAACTCTGCAGGAGCAGTCTACTGCAATTTTGCTCTCACAGTGGAAAGTAAGTCTATGATTTTGGTAGAAATGTTTCTCAAATAACCATAAGGCCCTTGAACCAGACCACCATCCAATCTTCCCTCAAAGACTAGTTTAACAAAAGATGCAACAAAAAATTCAGTCTATTTTTACCATGGATAAAATGGTGTTGGTCTACTAAAATGTAAAATTGTCTGTCTTTTAGAGACCAGTAGTTACTGTATTTGAGGGTTAAGTTTTTGAAAATATGATTCTCCTTTGGTAAGAAATCACTTATTTGGCCATCAGATTTTTTCATGTGATTGTAAGTCAGACTTGGATAAGCACAAGATAGAATAACCACTGGTGGGCAAAGGCTTTGTGGGTAGTAGAATTCTTTCTTTTTACATCAGATTTTTTAGGAAAGAAAGGGAAAGAAAAGTGCTGCTGTTCTGAGTTGATTATGTTTTGAAATAAGGGAATTTATGACATAACAATTTCATTAAATGCCTTTGATCTTTCTATTTAGCAGCATTTAAAAATGTTCTTTGGCATTGCTCTATATTTCCTTTCATTCTATCTTTTGAAGTATTCCTCTTGTGTCATAAAGTTTCCATTTCATTATTGAACAACCGTGGGGAAAATAAAATTGGTTGGTTTGATTTGGTCAATTAAAAATTTTTAGTTGTGTTGATTATGTTAGATCTTATGAATTTGATGTGACATTTAGTATTTCTCTAATAACTTTAACTCCAGCGGTGTCTGAACATGAAAGCAGTGCTGACCTTGACGAACAAGAAGCTTTGAGAAAGAAGAAGAAAGCTGCAGATGTAAGGAACAGTACTAGTGCAAATAATTTTTTATGCCACATGTCATTTAAGTTTTTTCATGATCACCTTTATCTGATATTCTGTGTATTCATGTTGTAACCCTTAGGGTGCTTTCCCAGAGATTTAGATCGATCTAAAGATTAAGATTTAGATCGACCTAACTCCCTGGGGGTTCAGGCTAAATTGCAGTCAGCCGAGCGGGCACCATAGTTAATTACCCCCTTACAGCTTTTAGTAGGCGGGACAGACGCCTAAGCCGGCCAAGCTGACAGTAATCTAGTGAGACTCCCCACAGGGATAGATCAATCTAAAAATCTATGGAAATGGGGTGTTAGATGTGGGATCACCAAGTGTATCTTCCTGCTGTCAGCAGGTGCAGCTATGCTGTAACTCAGAAAAAAATGACATATTTATACCACTTGCTTTGAAATATTCACTTGGTTACATTTCCAACTGAATTATTTGATTCACTGCCTGGGTAATTTATTTTGATTGTATGGTTGTTTATAATGTTTTTTTTTCCAAAGTGACAATCTAATTATCTTTTTATTTTGGTATCAATACCCAGGCTGTCCAGTTCAAGGAATACGCCTTGATTAAGAACTACACCGACCAGGCCAAAAAGATTGCCTTCAGGGAGGGAGAGATAGTCCAGGTCTTGGATGCCTTAAATCCAGATTCATGGCTGGTCAGGAAGAAGAAAGCCAAAGAACAGGTGAGCTTCAAGTAAAAGTGGAGGGAAAGATATACATAAAATTTTGCCTATTTCTGGACCTGCAATATGTCTATCAATAGATGTACTATGGCTATGATGATGTTGACTTTTTATTACCTTTTTTCTTGGAAGAGGTCTAGCTGTCTTCACAAATAGTTTTCTTGGTTCACCTGAGTGATGTTTTAAATTTGTTTTAGTAGTTACAATTTCTGTTTTGATAATCATGTAAGATGTATTTTTCAAGGTAAAATGAATAAGGGTACCCTTTTTTGATTTAAAGAACGCTTGAGTAAAATAGGTTCAGGTGTTAAAACAAACCAAATGTGGTTTTTCTCTCATCTTCTAGGTGGCCTACATACCCTCAGAGTTCTTGAAGAAGAAGGATGGTGTCCCAGATGACAAACAGGCATGGAAAGATGCTCTAGAAGGTAGGGGACTTAAATTGATATGTATGCAAACTTGGGATATGAAAATTGACTATGGCCTATTAATTGGCTTCTGGCATGGAAAATGGGAATTAGTCATGCTGGATGTTTCAATATTATTTACTTGATTTTGTAAAATTGAAAAAATCATTGTTTCCTACAATTGTGGCCATGAAAATCTTACAACATCTGCTTTAAGTAGTAGCCCTGACATAAAGTCCTCCTGATATTTTAATGTCAAAATAATTGAAGTGAATCATTAATTTTTTAAAGAATTCAGCAAAGAAGATTCAGGTATTATCTTTTTATGATAGAATAGCATAAACAATATTACACTTAAGGACTTTTCTGCATTTAAGTGCATCTATACATGATATAAAATCCAAGTATATCTTTGTGTTGGTAGCCTTTTGCTAGCCACCTTATGCATGGGGGTAGCCATATACACCATTTATCTTGAGAGAAAATACAAGCTGATGACCTTTAAGAGAGAGTTTTATCTCTGTGTGTACTATGGCAATGATGATGGCTGGTGTTATGATGTGTGGTCTTTGGGTAATGTATGTAAACAAACTAGAAGAGATAGTGTAAACGTATCTCTTGACCATGACTGATGTTGCTTAATGATTTTGATATTACAGATTTGCATTTGCTCTGCAGTAAATTTTCTGAGAATCTTTGCAACAACTGCAAATATGCTCAGGTTTATCAATTTATAGTTTCATTTAGATTTTTTTTTGCAGGAATAGACAAACAAGATATGGGTAATAGAAACTTTTTTGTCTGTTTCTTCAAAATCTGCAAGGTATATAAAGTGTTTGTTTTCTGATTACATTTGGCAAGAACAAAAGGCTGGAAGTTTGCCAAGGATATATTCTTTGTAGAGCATTGCCACTAGTACTTAGAGCATGATTTTAGAAACAACACAACAGAAATATACTGGTATGATGGATAGATAATGTTGTGCAAGGGATGAAAGATGTTTGTACATGTAATCCACATGCACGGATATAACTCCTTGAATCTCTGTGATGTCAGATCTGTATACATAACAGAGAGGTTCCCTAGAAATTCAGGTAAACATAAGTTGGAGGTTAGAAGACCCAGAGTCTAGAGGTTCTAAAGTAGGAGTGATGTATGTGCCTATTTTACCCCCTCTTTGCATTGTTTGCATTCCAAGTTGTTTATTCAACGCCTCTGAGTTACATTAGTTTACCTGGGCCTACCTTGAGTGGTTCAGTCAGATTTATGACTGGTGAAAGGTGTGCCCATGTATACATATTGCCAAAATCATTTGGAACTTGTTATTTATTCTGTGTACCTGATTCATCAAATGGTGTCCATTAAGTAGTTGCAGTGTTAGCCATGTTATGCTAAAAAATAACAAAACATAAACAGGTTATAAAAACCAAAAAAAAAAAAAAACTGTTTTATAGAACCAGTGCTGCTCTCAAGGTAATAATCTTAATAAGAAATAGACCTTATTTAAATTTTTCATTAGTAATGAGATTTGTTTGTTATTCATTTATTTAGATTTTGAGTATATACTTAGCAAAGATGGAAATATTTACCCTAAATTTTTAGGTCTTTAAGTAAAAATAAGAAATAATAATGAATGACTTATAAGTCATTTTGATAATATTTACTACTAACGTTAATGAACAAAACAAAATTTTTCAACAAGCGTTTTAAGCAAAAATAATCAAAGTATACCTGGGATCTTTGATGTTATAAAAAACAGATTTTCAGCCAACTGTTTTAATCCACTTCATCAAATGGATAAAACATGTGGATGGTGAAATGCAGATGTTGAAATCTTGCAATATGTTTTAAGTTTATTTACAAGGAAGTGTTAATTAGAGAAAGACACAGATCTTACATAACTAGCTATAGTGTCTGGGATGAAGAAACTTGTAAGAAAGGCGTTTTCTGAAAATTTATGCATTTTCAGTGCATTTGAAGCTAAATGAATATGGTGATAAAAAAGTCACGCTCTTATTAAATGCCTATGTATATATATAGTGCCCATTGCTCATGTTATGGAAACTAAATAATGTGGATGGTTAAGTTTTGTAGAAAAAGATAAATCTATTAAGGAATTGGTAAATGTTATTTACAATTTCAAACTGATAAATAAGATAATATTTCAAGTAAATTCTTATGAAGCATGGAATTGCTATTGAATTTTCCTCATCACTCACTTCCTAGAATGCACCAACAGGCATAAACTGGTTCTTACCAGATGATTAACTAACTCCTCAACCAAATGATTTAATGTTAAAAGTATTAGCTAGACACAGGATGTTGAATACTTTAGACTGCAGTCTGCCCTAATATGGGTGCTGTGATATTTTGGTGGAGTGGCGTAGGCTGAGTGATGCTCCTTTTGAACAGCATTAACTGAGCCATTTTGTTGCTTGGCAGTGTAATCCCACTGAGCTAGAGGTGTCTCAAAGGGCAATGTACCCTCCTGTACAGACTCTAGAATAATATTATTTCTGTGATATGTATTGCATATTTGTAGTAAATTGGTGCTTTGGTAATCAGATTGGCTTTTTGATTAAATGTAATGGTGGTTTTTAAACAAGTTATCTTTTAAAAAAAAATCATAATCAGACTTACATGTAATTTCATTTGCCATATAATAAAATATAATAGATACTAAAGTATTTGAAATTAATTATGTATGGATGATAAGAATAAAAAATATAATAACAGTTTCTCACTACAAAATGTTGAGTAGATAAGAAAAAAAAAACATCTGTCAGAGATAGAATGATTCACCTTGTCCTTGAAAATGTATGTGGAAGCTTTTTCAAGGCACCTACTGTAGAACTGGGTTCACCTTGCTTAGCCCAGGCAATATTAGCACTAGTAATTGCATTCTTAGTCAGGTTGAGTAAAATTTGTTCTGATTTCTGAGAGTGCTGTCATGATGGGGGTGTATGTTCTGGACAATAATATGTGACAGCTGACCTAATAGTTTGGGGGGTGGGGCTGTCAGCTAGGATTTTTCTTGGGGGGGGGGGGTAAAGCTAAAAGAAGATGCCGATTTTTATAACCTGACAGAAAAAAATACACTAGAATTTTAAAAAAATGTTAACTGTTAATGATCAGTAACAAAAGTTTGGTAAAAAAAAAATAAAACCCGAAGAGAATGAAGTCATTGTATGTGTTCTACATCAGGAACTACTCATGTTTTGATTCACATAATTGAATTTATTAAAGAGAATGGTTCTTGTAAACTAAGATGCGGGTTAAGTAAGTAGAGAAAGATAACCAGAGAAATGTCCATGGTTAAGAAGATACCCTCATGGTCAGTCAGAGGGCAGTTAGGGGAATGGATAAAATTCAAAGATAAGGAAAGTTAGGTAGAATTTCTTCCATCTCATTGTTTTTTCATTTCCACTGAGAATAGAGCACCGATTTTTCTTCAAATAAATTTGTATATTATTTCATGTAAATTTTCTGTTTAACTTGGATGTCATGTGTTGCCAGATGTTTAATGCCAGGCTCTTGTTACGATAAATTCTTTAAATAATGAGTAAATAAAATACTGGTAACTTTGTATGAATTTTTCTCCAGAAATCTCTGAGGTGAAGGATCGGGACCGAGCCAAAGGCAAACAAGCCACCCCAGAACTGGTAGACACTTCCTCTGATGATGAAAAAGTAGCTGAAGGAGAGGTGAGAAGTACATCTGGTGAATCTTCTTCAGCCAATGGCCACCAACATTGAAAATTAAATGCTTTTTGAATAAAATGTTTTTTTTTTGTTTTTTTGATAATTAAGATGTTGTCCAAAGACAGTGTTTTTTTTTACTTTCTATAAAATATGTAATTTTAAATAATACTTTCGCATAAATAAAGGATATTTAATTTATGTTGATTATTGGTGCAGGTTTCTGCCAAGAGTGTGACAAAATGAAATAAGAATTAAGCTGGTTGAAGAAACATGCAAATAAAACTCACATAGATTATTATTATTATTATTATCACAATGACCTTTCTGTGTGTTTTAATGTAATTCCATCCATTTATTTGCAGAAATACCCCATCTATGTAGCAGTGGCTGACTACATCCCACCTAAAAAGCAGAGGGACAAGGTCCAGCTGACCGAGGGTCAGTTTGTGGAAGTCCTGGACAAAAAGAACCCAGAATGGTGGCTTGTCAGGACCAAACCCACCAAGTTACACCCGGCCAAGCAAGGCTGGGTACCGGCCAGTCGCCTGGAGAAGAGGGACGGGGCTGGGCTTGTGGACAGGAGAAACACAAGAGAGGTGTTCAGGGAAGACATCATACAGATCACCAACAAGGGGCAGGAGGCTAATGTGAAGAGGAGGTGCTTTTTTTGATAGATCTTTTTTGGTTTTATTTTTTGCTCAGTTTTTGTTTATGTCACTTTCTTTGGATAATTTTTATTTGGTGCAAATAATAAAGATGGACTTAATGCCCTGCATAATTAGGTTGTTTTCTTGTTTTGATGAGAAAGTATGTTTGGCTGCTTGTCATATCTGATACAAACATCAATTAAAGCCTTTTATGATATTTTGAAGCTCCATGTTACTACTATAAGAAGAAGTTTTCTCATTTGATTTGTCACAGTGTTACACATCACTTTCCTATTTATTTCAGGTATGCTCTGAAGGAACTGTTGGAATCTGAACATGACTACCTGAACAACTTGCACAATGTGGTCGATACTTGTATCCCTCCACTAGAGGGAGCAGATGTACCAGAGCCCATTAAAGGCAAGAAAGACCTCATCTTTGCCAACTTGGAAGACATAATGCAGTTCCACCAGGAGTAAGTTGAACATCTCTTTTTATCATTCAAAGGGTTATTAAGCGTTGGTACATTTGACCATATTTTGAAGTCAGAATAAAAAAAATAAACAGTCACAAATTTTCTGACAAAATTCTTGTAATCTGGTTTGGCATTTCATGGAAAAATTTAGTACAATTTAATTGTTGTTGGCTTTTATGCAAATCAATAGTCTTAATTACCTTATTGACAAGACTGATCAATCTTATGGTATCCTGCAAAACTTGTCTTCTTAAAAATGACTGTAAGGTACCTAAACAACTTCCGTAACAGTTTCTGTAAAATAAAACTGTGAGTTTTTATTTAGTGCTTGACTAACAGTAATTTTAGAATTTCCTTGGTTGATATTTCCTCTTTTTTCAATATTACAGCACTTTCCTGCCCCAGATTATGGCCTGTACCAGTGAGCCAGAGGCCCTGGCAGCCTTGTTCCTCAGTCAGAAAGCTAAACTGGAGGAGTACATCCCATACCTGAAGAACAGAAAAGCTGCTCTGAAAGTCCTCAATACTGAACCAGCCAGAAAATTTACCAAAGTAAGCTACATTTCATGAAATTAATTACTTGCTCTGACAGTGTTCAGCAGTTGGATATAACTATGTGAGATAATTATTTCATTCAATACAATATTTTAAATGGTACTTATGTATCCTTTTCTTGCATTTGCTAAGCTGTACTCTCACAGTAATATGCAAATATGAAAGTGTTGTTTTTTTTCAGAAAATGAAAGAGAAGAAGGCTGGTGAGGAACAGACCCTCCCAGAACTACTTAAGAAACCCAAACAGCGCCTTCAGCAGTATCAGTCTGTTGTTAAGGTGAGCTTACACAATACAGCCATCCAACAATGCAACCCCAAATTGCAACCTGAAATTTTGAAAGACCTATTTCAAACATGAATTCTATAAACAGACACAGCATCTCCAAAATTAGGAACATGATTTTAATATTTTCATTCACATGGTTTAATATGAACGTTTTGATCTATTCCCATAAGGACTTTATACGCTACACTGCACGTGCAGGAGCAGACTGCTCCAAGCTAGAAGAAGCACATGATATGCTGGGTGCCATATTGAAACAGGCAGATGACAAATATCACAGAGATCAGATAGAGGGCTACCCTGGAGATTTGGCTGATCTAGGAAACATGGTCAGACATGTAGGTTATGTGTTTTGTTAATTTCTTTGGCATTGAAATATTATGCAGAGCTTTTTATACACTAGTGTTAATGATTGTTACATTATAGCTAGAAATGTAGCTTGTCCTTACTTGTTTTTTTTTTTTTCTTGAGCATCTGTACCTTTTGAAATTATGATTTTTACAACACTACATGGTTGCTTTTGGATTTTTAAAATATTTTTATTAGTTGTTTTTCAGATTTCAAAGATGGTATCCAATAAAATAACATAAATTACATATAATCAGTAAAAATGTTTTATTGACTATTAATTCCAAAAATTACAAAACATTAGTACGATGCTGAATTGAAGATAAGAATGGGGAGAAAAAACATTAGTATGATGTTGAATTGAAGATGAGAATGGGGAGAAAAAAACAGTAAAAATAACTTGTTATTCTTTCAGGATGACTTCCAGATGTGGGATGCAGAGCCAGAGGGTCATGGTAAGGACAGACACATCTTCCTTTTCCCTGACAAACTGCTGATTACCAAGAAGAAAAAGCCAGCTGTAGAGGGAGAGCTCCCCACTTACATCTACAAGGGAATCATCAATGTAAGTGGTGGTAACTTTTTACTTTGTCTTCTTTATGTAACTTAAAATTGATTGGAATTGTTTGACCTCTCTAGGCATGCTCTTTTCTTTTTATTACTTAACTTACTTCTTTGAATACTTGGTATTTAAAACATCAGACAATGGAATTGTGGTACAAAGGTCAAAGACTGAAAATAGATTTATGTGCCTGTCATAAGTGTGTGTGTGTGTGTGTGTGTGTGTGTGTGTGAGAGAGAGAGAGAGAGAGAGAGAGAGAGAGAGAGAGAGAGAGAGAGAGAGAGAGAGGTAAAAGCAAAGTCAATTGTCTACTTGCAGCTCCCAGATCTTCAGCTGAATGAGGACGCTCCAGGAGATGACAGGCGATTTGAACTGTGGTATGCTGAGCCCAGTGTGGAGAAAGTCACCTTGCAGCCAAAGAATGTCCACAAAAAACAGGCTTGGCTCAAAGACCTTAGGGAACTGCTCACAAAATTAGGTTGGTGAAGACAATTACAGGGGCGGATCCAGAGCTATTTACTGACAGTCTTCTAAATTATCTTTGTTGATCCGTCCTGTATTTTTGACCGTCTTCCGAGAGAAAAAATTAGATATCTGTCAATGTAAACTTGAAAATCTGACCGTCTTCCAGAAGACCCAGAAGACGGCCTCAATCCGCCTCTGAATTAGACATCAGCTTGGCATAATGTATTCATGAATTTTATAAAAAAAAAACTACTTCCTGTCTATAAATATATATATATAGATGATGATTGCGACTATGATATATATGGCTTGTAAAAATGCTAACATGACAATACTCTGAATGTGCATTCTGTTGTTAAACCTCTTAACAACAATAAAGTACCACCTATACAGGTAGACAGTGGGTGTCTGTGTTAGACAATGTGTACAACGTGTGTAATTGCAAGTAGTCAGAAACTCTGGACTTACAAGGACTTAGGCTAGTTGCTGATAACAAATGAAAATTGTATACTTACCTATGTTGTTTTTAGAACTGCGAAGAAGAAAAATAATATATTTCTTCTAAAAAAATGCTCTTTGGCGTATAGAAAAATGATAGACATAAATATTCATCTTAAGTGGATTGTAATTTTTACAGGAGTAAAAGAAACTGACATCCCAGATGAGACCCTGGAGCAGCTGAAGACAAAGAAACCCAAGGTCCCTTCAGTCCCCAAGAAGAAGCCAGAGAAAAAGAAAAAGGGAACAGATGTTACTGATGCAGCACCCAAAGATAAGGCTGCAACAAGTGCTGAGGGTGAGGAAACTTGATCAAACAGACATTTTGTGATAAAAAGTGAAAATTTCTACACATTTTGTAAAAGTGGAAAAGTATTTTCCATTGAAATTTATCAGATTGTATGGAGTTACTTTTGATAGTATGGCAATTGGTCATTAAAAATTTATATTTTGGGATGTCATCAGTAGATTGCCATTGTATTGTTCAGTATTTAGAACTGATGATTTGATGATGATTTAAATAATGTTGGATGAATGAAAACAATTTGAATGTATTGTTTGGTCATGGATGTGCTTGATGACACTTTTAACACTTACAGCATAATGATTTCCTTCAGAAGTTTAAAATACTTGTTGCATAAAAACTCTTTAAATGGACCTCGTGAATGTTCAAAAATTTACTACTCTGCCTCTTTTAACTAAAAAAGCTCAACCTGCTCAGCTGGACTTGCTCAAGTTTTAACAAATCAAATTCCCAGTTTTTTCACTTATCTGTCATCCTCTTCTAGTATGATGTCTGACATCTTTTTGGCCATTTTGTGTAACTGTTCTGGTGAAATGTTTAAATCTTGGGACAGCTTGTTATGTTGCATCAAGTGGAAATTAACAGATATATAACTTGAACATTGAGCTGCATGCCAGGCTCCTATTTCATTTTAACTTGAAGGAGTTTGTTTGAAGTGATAAAGAATTATCAGAACTTCAGTGAAGATTATATTTGCTTTACTGATAATTTGGTACTTGATTTCATGACTGACATAAATGTATAAAGGGATTGCAGTGGGAAATAATAACAGCAAAAGAGGCCACAGTACATGTAATTCTAGTTTAAATAGAAGCAGTTAATTTGCACAGCTTATTAAGAATACATGTAGATCTACTGTTAGTAGGCATGTCAAAAAGACTTTTGGCAAAATGATAATTCTGTGGTCAAAAAATGATGATACGTTTTTAGTGTGCTTTGACTGTTCATGCCTTCTGAGTGAAAAATATAGAATTATGTGCATATGCCATTCTGTACATGAAAATAATGCCCTGTGGTTATTTAAAGTGGTAAGATAAGATAAGATAAGAGTTTATTCAGCCATTAATATATAAATATAAAATTCATATAAAACGGAAATTGGACTGCTATTCGGGTTACAAATTATAAATAAATAAATTATAAATTTCCATTTTTGTTGTTAAAATAAGACACAGCAGATGGGTAAAAACTCTTTAAAAACCTTTTAGATCCCTTAAAAGTTAAAAGCCTGCAGTTGCTCGGTAAAAATTTAAAAAGCCCATGTGCGGGGTGGGTATAGTCAGACATGATTTTCTCTGTTTTTGTTACTGATCTATTAGTATAGATGGCACCTAGAGAGGGGAGTTCCAGACCGATGATTTTGCCGCACGTTGATGTGACCATATCTAGACGCTTGCGTTCTTCTACAGTGGCCCGCCCATACCATACTATGATTGCAAATGTTAATATACTTTCTATAACGCATTTGTAAAAGTTTGCTAAAATCATTTCATTTGAAGTAAAATCCTTCAACTTTCTTAAAAAATATACCCTTTGCCTCGCTTTTTTTAACTGTTTGTCTATGTGGTCCTTCCATGTAAGTGAGCTATTGAATTCTACCCCCAGCAGTCTAAAATTGGCTACTTGCTTTACTGCAGTGCCACTGATATGAATGGGTTCTTTCACATTTCTATTCTTTCTGAAGTCAACAATCATTTCCTTAGTCTTCTCTACATTCAGTAACAAATCGTTGTCTTTACACCATTGTACAACTGAGTTGACATCGTTTCTATACCAGGTCTCATCATTATCACTTATTAAGCCAATTAAAGTGGTGTCGTCTGCAAACTTCACGATGCAATTACTCTCATGAGATGAAACACAATCATACGTGAACAAGCTGTACAGACATTTTGGTGCTTGGTATTCATCAAATTTTCTTGACTAAAAGCATTTTCCTGCTTTGTTTCTATGCATGACTTGCACGTGGCATGCTCTTTTCCAGAATACTTCACTGCTGCCTCGAATGAAAGTGAATATTTTACAGCCCCTGGATTGCCTCCAGAGGATGAGAGGATGAAACCCAAATTTAAAAAGGCACCATTTGACACCAAGGCAAATGAAGGTGACCAGGTGAAGTTTGAGATCCAGGTCACAGGAAACCCTGAGCCTGAGATTACTTGGTAAGAGGGGGAAGTGTGATGAAGCTGATATTTTTTCCTATTTGAATGTGTTTTTTTTTTTTCAAAATGAATGTACTATTCAAGGTTAAAATCACACTGACAAGACAAATAGTGTTACTTGAAAATAAAAGTAATAACATTGAATAAATAAATGAAAATAAAAATATTAAAACAAAAAGAGCAGAACTAAGTTTTGAATTTTTTTACAAGAAAAGTTACTATAATGATTTATTGCTATGATGTGCAGATTATAAGATGAAGAGCAAGAGGTCTGCTAGTCAAGTGACATTGGCTGAGAAGTAGGTATTATAAGCTGAATTAAATTTGTATTTTTTTTTCAGGTTCAAAGGTGCCCAGCAGATAGCAGCTGATGGAACCAAATACACCTTTGTATTTGCTGATGATGAGTTCATGGCTCTGATAGTGAAGGACTTGAAACTCTCTGATGCTGGTCTGTACTACTGCAGAGCTAAGAATTATGTGGGAGAGGCAGAGGTCAAAATTAAGCTGGAGGTCAAAGGTCAGCCATATTTTTCTATTTCTGTATAATAATTTTGATTAAATACTACTTTTTATGTATTAATTGTACTGACAGTTTTACCTCCTTTTGATCATATTCCAATAATATTTCTTGTTTATATGAATGTTTGTATTAGCCCAGTGACTATAAATTGTCCTAATATTTTTTCAGTTTTCTGGCAAGTAAATTTGTGCTTATTTATTTGTTCTTTATAAACATTAAAATTGAAACCTGTATAAATCCAAGATGTTTGTTACCAGGCCAAAAGAGCAAAGATGCTCGTCCTTCCTTCCCAAGCAAGATGCGTTCCAACATGAACATCACTGAGGGCAACCCTGTGGAACTGAAATGTACAGTTGCTGGGTTCCCAGAGCCAGACGTCATGTGGCAGCTCAATGGAAAGCCATTAAAACCATCAGCAAATATTGAAATGAAGACCGAAGGTGACCAAGCAGTTCTCAGTATCAAGAATGCCACCCCGAATGACTCTGGTGTATATACGTGCAAGATCACCAATAAGCTGGGGCATGCCCAGTGCAGCTCCACTGTGACTGTAAAACCAGATATGTTTAAGAAGAAAGAGGCCGCCAAAGTGGCCCCTATGTTTACTGCAAAATTCAAGGATGTTGAAGTAACCCCAAAACGTGACACCTACCTGGAGTGTAAAATCAAGGGGTCGCCAGCCCCAGAGGTTACATGGTACCATAATAACAAACCTCTGAAGGTAGGTCAGCAGTTTTATTTTGCTCACAATTATATTTATGAATCTGTCAGACTTATAATTTATAGAATTGTTTGAATCCCATTAGAAACAATGCATATGTCTTGTGCACTTATACTATTCAAAAGTGGATAAAGATCTTTAACATAATAGTTCCAACTACTCTTGCAGGATGGACATGCAATGTCATAATGTATTTTAGTTACTTTTATCACTCTCATATAATACATGTGATTATTATTATTATTAAAGGATTCAAAACACATAAAAATGGAGAAAATTGGTGACATGCATATTCTAAACATCTACAAAGTCACCCCAGAAGATGAAGGGGAGTACACCTGCAAAGCTGTCAACACGGCTGGAGAAGTGTCTCACAGTGCCCGGGTCAGTGTGGCCAAACCCAAGGAGCCTACCTTCAGTGGCTATGCCCCACAGTTCTCCAAGAAGGTGTACAACGTGGATGCTGTGGAAGGAGAGAAGGCCAAGTTTGAGTGCAGGGTTATGGGGGATCCTGAACCTGATGTACAGTGGTAATGATGTGACTTTTTAGGCACAATTACAACTGAGTGTGGTTTCACAAATGGACTTAGGACCAAAAGTTGGTCTTGGCTTTTAGACCAAAATTATGTTTAGTCTTCTTTGATTCGAGATAAATCGGGAAAATTCCACTTTTGAATTAATGAAATATTTTATTCAAAGCGATGAGTACTGTTTTTAGATCAATAGTTTAGTGGACATCTCTATATAGATTTATCCTGAACTGGAAAAAAATTGGTCTGAAAGTCCATTTATTTTTTAATTAAACCATTCCCAATTGTCAAGTTGCCAACAGCAAAACTTAATATTTAAAAGTGATGTTAAGAGCATTCACTGACATAATTCCTATGTCAGTTAGACTATTTCCAGTTCATGTTAGACCTGATATCATCTCTTCCATTTCATCTAAAGGTTCAAGGATAGCCAGCCTCTCCAGCCAGGCCGTAAGTACAAGATGGAGAAAGTGAGAGGCAGTACCACTTTGACCATCAGTGATGTGACCAAGGCTGATGCCGGAGAATACACCTGTACTGCAGCCAACCCTGGAGGGAAAGTCAGCAGTGCTGCCATGTTGGACGTGCAAGGTATTATTGAAATACAGTATTGTGTACACTTATTTAGTAATTTTGCAATATCTGCATTAAAATGTTTTGTAGGAGTGGATTTGTGGAAATAATCAAAGTCAACATTTATTGAATACTTTAAACTGATTATGCACCTGTATTAATTAAAATTTATTGACTTCTTTACAGCTGCTAAACCAAAAGAAAAATCTCCATCTAAAACCTTTGGTAAGGCTGAAGAAAAGTCAGTTCTTTCTAAGCAGCCAGTGGAACCAGTTGTTGAGAAAAAAGGAGGTGAGATTTGATATTGATTGATCTATATTCTTTAAGTGGTCATACGGTTGATTATGAAATGCAATTTATTATGTTTTATTAGGTCTACTAATAAAAAAAAATTGTTGGGCTTTATGCAAGAGGTATGCCTTTCTACATAGATAAAAAAGTAATTAGATTCTTCCTGATTACTGTAATTTAGTACTCTCACATTGGTGGATTTTAATGTGTGAATTCTATATGACATTTCTGTCAAAAGAGACGGCTTCATCTCCATCACCAGAGGAAATATTCATGAAAACTCCAGAACCAACAAAAGAAGCCACACCCATTTTAGAAGAAGTAACAAGCAAAACTGAGATTGAGTCTAAAATGACAGAAGTCATAAACAAAAAGGAAGAGACAACGAAAACAAAATTTGATGATATAATTGAAACTTCTAAAACTGAAGAATTGATGGAAGAATCAATCTCTGAAGAAAAGAAGAGCACAATTATAACTGAAGAGATTATACCATCATCAACAGTCACTGCTGAGGAAAGTACTGTTGAGGAAGCTGAGATAATGAGAGCTGAACATAGCACAATGGAGGTTATGCTTGAAATGTCGTCTGCTAATGAGGAGCTCTTCAGTGAAGGAGGTAACAAAATCACCACACCTCAGTCTCCATCCACTGGATCACCGTTTTATCATGATTGTTTGCACATTTTGTCTACTTATTATTCACTATTTCTGTTTTATTTCAGCCTATCAATAAATGTAAGGAAAGATTTTAAGAGCAGTTTGCCGGTTTCTCAACGTCTAGTAAAATTGATATCCCTTGTTTGGCACTAACATGTTCTTGCATTGTGCCAGGAATAAAAATGCAAAATTTGCTTGACTTTGAGAAATAGGTGCTCTTAATCTTTCCAACCTTTCCAGGAAACTCCTGCAAGTACCTTAACAGATAAAATTTCTGAATTTTTTATTTTATGTTTCTTTTCTGTATTATCACAATTTTCTCCTCTTTCTTTTTCATCAGTTCCACCTAGGCCAGTCTCAGACAAACCCACTATCTCAAAGTACACTGGGGATTCCCTTACTCTCACATGGCCTACCACCACACTTCCTCTAAATGCAATCCCCACACCCATCACCTACTCCATAGAGTCCAGGGAACCACCCATACCTTCTTGGACAAAGGTCACTAGTGGCTTGACCACTCCTAAGTACACTGTTACCAGACTGAAACCTGAGAAGGATTATGTTTTCCGTGTGCGAGCTGAGAATCAATATGGCCGCTCTAAACCTTCACCTCAGGCTACAACTGCTCTTCAGAAAAGGCCTGGTAATAACTGTCTTAGTTTTTAGTCGTAGTTCTAATTGTTATATAGAATCTTTCTGTTAGTGCTTGATATAAGTTTATAAGGTGTTTGTTTACAATAATTCATTTTCTTTTGATTAATTTATGTCAAGGTTTTCCAAATTTTATCGTTCATTTTGCAATTTTTTATGCAAAAGTAGGTATCTTCAGTAAGTGTTATAGTGAGACAGATCAATAAAAGATTAAAGATCTATTGAATTCAAATATTACTTAAAATAAAAGAATTACAAAAATATCTGGAATATAAAGAAAAAAAAGCACCCAAAGGTTGCACTTATATTATTGTTAAAAATCTCATTAATGATAATGCCAAACAGAAAAGAAGTGAATTTTAAACATTTCAGAATTGTTGGGCTGTATACATGAATGTAAATCTAGTATGTTGGTAAATACTTGTAGCAGAGACATCAGGACTGCAGTATGGCAGAGATGGCAGTCTACCCAGGATGGATGAACTGGGATATGTGCCTCATGCTGGAGATCTGTATGTGCCTGCAACACCCTATACACCTAGAGGTAAGGTGCCTAGGATAACACAGAGCTAATACAAGTTAATTTGTTTTGTTGTTGAATGAATAAAATTGCTTTATAGAATATAAATTGTTTTTTTTTTCATACCATGCGATGAACATAGTCCTGAAATCTTATTTCTTTTTTGGAAAATTACATTTTAAAAACTCCAAAATATTGAGATAACATTAGATGTTAACTGAAATGCCTTATCTTTGACATAGTCCGCACTCCAGTGATTGAGCGCCCGAGGATTGAAGATTATGCTGACCGCTCCATCAAACTGGCATGGTCACCTCCCCACATCCCTGCCCTGGAAGAGAGGTACCGTCTCCCCGAGTCGCGCACCTCCACTCCTATTTCTGTGGCATACACCCTGCCATCTGGGCGCTCGTACATGCCCAGACCTTCTGTGGAGTCACATGACTACAAACTAAGCTCGAAGCTGCCTGAGGCTGCTTCTTATGCAGTAGAACCACCCAGAAAGTTCAAGTACATCATTGAAGGACGAGAACCACATGTACCAGAGTGGCGCCGCCTGGTGGACAGACTGCCAGACACTCTGAGTTACAGCATTAAAGACTTGACCCCTGAAAGGGACTACATGCTGAGAGTGAGAGTGGAAGATGAAAAAGGCCTGAGTGAACCTTCTTTACCAGTGCTTACAGCTCTGCACAAACCTAGAGGTAAAGGTGCCTTTCTTTTGACGTCAGCTGAATTAAAATTGCCTTACAGGACACAAAGTGTGCTGCTTTTGACAATGTTATGTACAGTAAGATATGGAAGCATGCAATGATTTATGATTTAGAACTTGCATGTAAGATTAAAGAAATAATGTTTGTTGCATTTATCTTTTACTCATTTTTTCATATTTTTACAAATAATTGAACAAAATCATTGTTATGATATAATAAGAATTCAAATGAAATTTCATTAAATGCAACATATAAGGGTACAGTAAATCAGTATTTGGCAAATTTTATTACTATAGTAATTGAAGAATGTTTCATTATGCTTTTCCAGACAAGAGAGCAGAAGAGATACATGTACCACCAGAGTTCCCCTACCACGAGCCTATCATCACCAACTTCACTGAGAGATCACTGGAACTGTCCTGGTCTCCTGCTCGTTTCCCAGACAGAGCACGAAAGACACCCATCAGATATGTGGTAGAAATCCAGGAAGCTCCGTCGTATGACTGGCGAAAGCTGGTTGACGGGCTGAAGGATACCACCTTTACTGTGCTCACACTGAAGCCAGATAAAGACTATGCCTTCCGTGTCAGGGCAGTGAATGACTATGGAATCAGTGAGCCCACTTTGCCTGTGTCCACAGCTTATTTGAAGAAGCCAGGTAAGTTATTGTGATAATAGTTTTTTTTCTTATTACTATTAATATTGTTTTGTCAATACAAAATTATTTATGAATATATTATGCATATAATCAGAAATAAGAAGAAAGATATGCAACCTAATGTTGAAGCTGGTAGAGCTTGTAAAACCACCCAGTGCTTGTGTGGCAGAGGTGCCACAATATGTACCTACTATTGTTATAATGTAATTTTGCCACTGTTAGTCAGATACTAACTCTTACAGTCATACTGTATGGATCAGAATTGGCTGTTATTTCATATGTACTGATGCCATTATTGTATAAAAAAATGCATCTGGCAATTTTAAGGAAAAAATAATAATGTCAAAATGTTGCAAGATGGCCATTCACAATTATATTTACCTTAATTATAACCTCAACTTGTTTTTTCCCATTAAAATAAAATTATGTTTTTTTATAATTTTTTTTTTTTATTTTCATTCCATTAGTCCCTGCTCGCAAAGTGCTCCCCCCACCTCTCTTACTTATGGACCACCCCCTTATCACTGACCTGGATAAAGACTATATCCGCCTAAAGTGGATCCCATCCTTCCCAGCTGATGCCCATCAGACCTATACCATTGAAATGTCCGAGCCACCTTATAATCAGTGGCTGACCATCAAAGGTGCTGTACAGGGCACGGAGTACACACTGAGAGATGTCCGTTCAAACAAAGACCGCATGTACAGAGTGCGTGCAGACGGACCGTATGGCCCTGGCGAGCCATCAGAACCAGTTTCTGCTAAATTGTTCATGAAGCCAGCTGAAGGTACTACACTGGTTTATTGTGAGCAAGATACATTCTGGGAAATTGAGTAGATATGTTTTGCTTTGAAGTTACTTTTCATAACCTATTTTTGACTTGTTACTTTTCCCTATTAGTTTACAGAATAATATTATTTTACAGAATTCCTTTTCTGCTTTTTCTTGGCTTATATTCTTTACTGGTTGTTATTTTATTACTGAAAGAACTCTGCTGCCATGTAAATCTTTTGTCAGCCTGTCACATATTTTTAAGGGACAATCCAGTTCTTATTTACACTTTTTGAAGAAACTTTGATTTTCAAATAATTTGTCACATTATTTAGTACATCTTTTCTTCATTCTTCAGCTGCACCTGAACCTATCCCCCTTGCTCCCCACCTGTTTGTGGATAAAATAGATAACAAACGTATCTCGCTGGGTTGGTCCCCCACAAGACTGCCAGCATATGACCATTTCTCATCTGTTAGTTACACAGTGGAGGTCAGCAAGCCACCACACTATGAGTGGCGACCTCTGGTGACCAGAATTAAAGACACTTACTTGAGCATTGACTTGAATGAACCACACAAAGACTACTATTTCCGAGTGCGTGCAGAGAATGATTATGGTATCAGTGAACCATCTCATCCAATTGCCACTCGAGATTTTTTCAAAGATAGGCTGGAGCCATCAAAGAGCCTTTTGCCAGATCACAGGAGGCCGTCAGAGTTTGACAGAAAAATGCCTGCTGTCTTTGATCTGGCCAGACCACTCACTCTACCAGAGTTGCATCACCCTGGGGCCTTGGGACTTGGTCTGGATGGACGTGGTCAGTTGGTTCCCTATGGAGGCCCTGACCTGGGACTGGACACTATGTTTACACCAGTGTTGCCAGACACCTCACAATACAGAGGTCTGGATCTGGCTCCGGAACAGAAACTTTACAAACCACCATCTGTGTACAGGCATGCCAAGTTTGATCTGATCATGCCTCTATCTTCACCTTACAAAGGATTAGACTTGGCCACTGAGGTGTCACTACCAGCACCTCCAATGCAATACAAGCCAAGAGAAATGACAGTTCCAAGGCAAGTGCAAAGAAAAATGCGTGCACAATCACCTGTCATCACTATTGATGTCATATTGCCTGGAAGACAGGAAAGGTCAACTTATCAGCCGTATGTACCACANTATTGTGATAATATTTTTTTTCTTATTACTATTAATATTGTTTTGTCAATACAAAATTATTATTAATGAATATATTATGCATATAATCAGAAATAAGAAGAAAGATATGCAACCTAATGTTGAAGCTGGTAGAGCTTGTAAAACCACCCAGTGCTTGTGTGGCAGAGGTGCCACAATATGTACGTACTATTGTTATAATGTAATTTTGCCACTGTTAGTCAGATACTAACTCTTACAGTCATACTGTATGGATCAGAATTGGCTGTTATTTCATATGTACTGGTGCCATTATTGTATAAAAAATGCATCTGGCAATTTTAAGGAAAAAAATAATAATGCCAAAATGTTGCAAGATGGCCACTCACAATTATATTTACCTTAATTACAACCTCGAATTGTTTTTTCCCATTGAAATAAAATTATGTTTTTTATAATTTTTTTTCATTCCATTAGTCCCTGCTCGCAAAGTGCTCCCCCCACCTCTCTTACTTATGGACCACCCCCTTATCACTGACCTGGATAAAGACTATATCCGCCTAAAGTGGATCCCATCCTTCCCAGCTGATGCCCATCAGACCTATACCATTGAAATGTCCGAGCCACCTTATAATCAGTGGCTGACCATCAAAGGTGCTGTACAGGGCACGGAGTACACACTGAGAGATGTGCGTTCGAACAAAGACCGCATGTACAGAGTGCGTGCAGACGGACCGTATGGCCCTGGCGAGCCATCAGAACCAGTTTCTGCTAAATTGTTCATGAAGCCAGCTGAAGGTACTACACTGGTTTATTGTGAGCAAGATACATTCTGGGAAATTGAGTAGCTATGTTTTGCTTTGAAGTTACTTTTCATAACCTATTTTTGACTTGTTTCTTTTCCCTATTAGTTTACAGAATAATATTATTTTACAGAATTCCTTTTCTGCTTTTTCTTGGCTTATATTCTTTACTGGTTGTTATTTTATTACTGAAAGAACTCTGCTGCCATGTAAATCTTTTGTCAGCCTGTCACATATTTTTAAGGGACAATCCAGTTCTTATTTACACTTTTTGAAGAAACTTTGATTTTCAAATAATTTGTCACATTATTTAGTACATCTTTTCTTCATTCTTCAGCTGCACCTGAACCTATCCCCCTTGCTCCCCACCTGTTTGTGGATAAAATAGATAACAAACGTATCTCGCTGGGTTGGTCCCCCACCAGACTGCCAGCATATGACCATTTCTCATCTGTCAATTACACAGTGGAGGTCAGCAAGCCACCACACTATGAGTGGCGACCTCTGGTGACCAGAATTAAAGACATTTACTTGAGCATTGACTTGAATGAACCACACAAAGACTACTATTTCCGAGTACGTGCAGAGAATGATTATGGTATCAGTGAACCATCTCATCCAATTGCCACTCGAGATTTTTTCAAAGATAGGCTGGAGCCATCAAAGAGCCTTTTGCCAGATCACAGGAGGCCGTCAGAGTTTGACAGAAAAATGCCTGCTGCCTTTGATCTGGCCAGACCACTCACTCTACCAGAGTTGCATCACCCTGGGGCCTTGGGACCTGGTCTGGATGGACGTGGTCAGTTGGTTCCCTATGGAGGCCCTGACCTGGGACTGGACACTATGTTTACACCAGTGTTGCCAGACACCTCACAATACAGAGGTCTGGACCTGGCTCCGGAACAGAAACTTTACAAACCACCATCTGTGTACAGGCATGCCAAGTTTGATCTGATCATGCCTCTATCTTCACCTTACAAAGGATTAGACTTGGCCACTGAGGTGTCACTACCAGCACCTCCAATGCAATACAAGCCAAGAGAAATGACAGTTCCAAGGCAAGTGCAAAGAAAAATGCGTGCACAATCACCTGTCATCACTATTGATGTCATATTGCCTGGAAGACAGGAAAGGTCAACTTATCAGCCGTATGTACCACATAGCCAGAAGGCTGTTAAAATTCCTGCTATACCAGCAGCAGTAGTGGAATATAAATCACCACCTCTTGTTGCCCACACGGCAGTAAAACCAGCAAGGTCAAGGAAAAGTTTGGCTGATAAGTACAAGTCAGATCTTGTACCATATAAACCTAAAACATTGGACTGGGATATGGAGTCACCTGAACGTGGATCTGTCTCTCCTCAAAGAGGACGACTAGCACGGACACCCTCTTTACCCCCTTACAGGCCTTCCTTACCGTCTATTGAAGAACTGAAAAATAGAATCCCATCTTTACCATCTTCAACCTTACCCACTGTAGACACTGATATATATCAGAGACGCCCCTCTGTTCCTGACTTACGTCGCTCTCGAAGACCATCTGTTGTGGCGGCAGATCTGGATATTTCTAGCAGGCGCCTTTCTGTGCCTGACGTAGGACTAACTAGAGTACCATCTGTCAGAATGGAGGATCTCGACTTAAATGTTTATCGTAGGAGACGCACATCTGTTCCTGACTTGAAATTTGACAGGGCATCATCTGCAGTTCCTGATATTGAAGAACCTCTGTATCGCAGACGTCCTTCCATAACTGGAGCATTGCAGCGGAGAATGGGGGAGCTTCCTGAAGACAACACTTATCGTTTGGAATTTGAAGATTTGTTGTACTATAGACGACCTTCTGTGCCTGACTTACCCTACCAACGACGATACTCTGTCCCTGAATTACCTAAAAGACGCCCCTCCACCCCTGATTTGAAAGGTACTGTTTTTCTTTTAGTTCAGTCCTTTTTGTGAACCCTATTTTATGTTGCAACTGAATCTGTTGATATGTAAATGCTATTTTGCATCATCAAAAAAGTATTGATAATTTGGCAAATGTTGTTTGCCTGCGAAAAATGACTTTTACAGATTCTTGCACTGGGACTCTCTGACACATGTATTTATATCTAGCTTTACCTGTTTATTTCTTTGGAATTGCAAATTAAGCACATTTTACTCTGAAAAATATCCCAAAATGTGTCTACTTGATTTGGTATTTTATTTTTATTTGAAAAGCTTAAATACATTATTTAGGTGCAGGGCATGATTTTGATACCAGTATGCCAACAAGAAGAGCAATGGGAGACATGGGTAAGTGGGTGTGATAGACAACAATGGAAACTGTGGCATGGATGGTGGCATTTAAAGGCATACAATGGGCATTAATTCTTTATACAGTATAGCAAAAAAAAATTTTTTTCAGGAAAATTTTGGAATATTTACCTTTATCTCAAAAGTATACCCTATCCATAAACATCAAGAAAATTACAATATATAAACCCATTTTTGAGTTATTAATTTCTCATTTCTACCATCATGATTGAAATTTACCAGCCTCTGTCCCAATTACTAGCATGAGGGTGACTTTAAAACTGGAAACCTATGACTCAAACTCACACGGGTTAATGGATTGCAAATCTGTGAATAGTTTTGTTGTTATTCCTTGCTGCATGCATGATAAATGGAAATTTTTGAAATTTCAATGATAATTAAATATTTGCTATCCAAGAACTAATGCTCATTATATGCCTTTGCTTATAAATGATTTGTGAAGATGACATAGTGTATATGATATATGTATTTCAGATTAGAAAAAAAACTCATAAAAATACATAGAAATAATGTTGTCATGGGTGCACCTCAGATTTAAGTTTGTGATCATCAAATATAACTTCAGATGCTCCACGGGTGATCCTGGACAAGCCTCGTCTTGAGGATCTCGGAGATGGCAGCATTAGAATTACATGGACCCATAGCACCTTACCTGGGTTCAGCCCACGGACTCCAGAGATAAGGTACATCATTGAGGTCAGTGAGCCACCAAGCAAAATATGGAGGAAAGTCATTGGGGCACTTGCTGAACCTAATTATGTAATAAAAAATCTGCGTCCTGATCAGGATTATTTGTTTAGAGTTAGAGCACAAAATGACTATGGAGTAAGCGAGCCATCGCTACCAGTTTCTACATTTTCACTGTGGAGGATTCAAAAGACCCCATACCATCCAATCACAGGAGTGGATATTACTTTTGATAAAGGTAAGAACTAATTTGGCTTTAATTCTTTTTTCACATTCATTAGTTAAAATGTTCAATGCAATTTAAATATTGTTACAGTACAATAGATGGTTTTTGCCTGCATTTTTTGTTACAGTAATAGTTATATAGTGCAAAAGAGAATTGTGTGTGTAATTGCAAAGTAATCTGTCAAATTATCAAAGTTCTTGGCTGCCTTTTTTCTTTAATTTAATTTGAAATAAAAACAAAACTAAATTGATTCAATGATGTGCAGACATAGTGGCTGTAATAACAATGATAATAATAATGATGGTGATAACCTTTCTCTCAACTAGAAAAATTTTTACAATAGTCCTCAGGACTATTAAAACAAAGCAAGATAATGATAAAAGATTGCAGATTAAGTAAAAAGTTTAAACAATTTGAAAGTTACAGACAAAATACACTTTTGATTGTTTATTTAGTGCCTCCTCGGTTAAGTGAGAAACCTTACATCACAGGCTATGACAACCACTCACTACGTCTCCACTGGTCACCAGTGGTCATGCCTGGACACCTTGGGTCACCACTGGTCACTTACACTGTAGAGATGAGAGAGCCAAGTCAGCAGTGGAGAGAACTGGCCACTGGAGTCAATGGGCATCACTTCAGTGTCAACCATTTAGATCCAGAGAAGGATTACATGTTCCGTGTCATCCCTGTCAATGAATATGGACCTGGTGAACCCTCTGTGCCTGTGCCGACATATTTGTATAGGAAAAGAGGTGAGTGCTTTGCCAGCCATTGGTTCTCCTTACTTGTGACATAGAGGGCATTCTGTTCAATCACTTATTCTTTGCTACACAGACATTATAAATTAAAATGAAAAAGGAAGGATCATTAAGTAGAGCTTTCACAAGACATCCATCCTTGTATCTTTTGGTTTCCTTTTGATTGTGTATTTGAAAAAGACAATTCACTATATCAGTTAAGTTTTTGATTATATTGTGAAAACAAAAATTAGAAAAACAAAAGCTCATTTGGTTGATAGTGTGGACCTTGGTTTAAAGACTTGGTTTATGTTTTCTTCAGCTCCATTTGATTATCGTCCATCGCCAGATTTTTACAGAGACAGGAGAGCTGAAGGTAGGTGGTGGGGAGGTAATAACCAGCTTCTTTAGTACAAATTCAAATAGTGTATTTGCATTTATATATCTGAATATTCTATGGAGAATCTCTAATCTTTCTATATCATATATTAAAACTTCTGAATGTCAAGCAGGTATTTGAGTGTTATTACTACATTTTTGGAAAATCACAGTTGAAGTCCTTTATGTATTTGCAAAAATTATTTTGATCATAAGAATTCGTTTTTACAATGCTTTTGATTAATATGATTGGTAAATTTAAAGTCTACCTTAGAAATGCTTAATACTCTGCGATATTTGCCTGAGAAAACATTCAGAATTTTCAAATTGGTATATTTGTAGAAATAAATTCTCTGATATCTAATGATACAATACTGCACCCATATTGGCTGCAGACTATTTCTACATTTTCTTAAAATCAGCAGGGCTTTATCTTCTATTCACCAATGTTTTCCTCAAAAGATGTTAAAAATGCTATCTTTGATATTTTGACAACTGCACTTATTTATTAAGTTAACTGATTTTGAATTTACAGCAGTTCATTCTTTGAATCAATTAGTTGAGTAATTTTTCATAAGGACAATATTGGTGATTAGATTTCACCTTCTTTTCTCTTTGCAAGTGTCATTTGTGCTTTGTATTTTTTTTTTTTTTTTGTAGAATTTTAGTAGACTTTTGTCTTGTGGTCACTGATTGCAGATATCTTCAGCATCAACTTGTTTTGCTCTTTGCTTCAATGTAGCAGTAGTAAATTTATTTTATTCCACTTTTGATATTGTTTATCCTATCTTTAAGTTTTTAATACAATTATAATGAAGTTTGTTGTTTTTTCTCTGTGTGTGTGGAATGCTCAACTTGATTCACCCTTCAGATTATGATAAATCCAGAAGATGGTCCCTTCCCTATGCCCTTTCACCTTGGTTCACTGAAGAACCTTCACCAGCACCACCAGCACCATCCCGGAGCCACACTAGAGCCAGGAGTCCTTCACCTTCCTCTTTGCCGTCTGCTCTTATTGGACTGTCGTCTGCTCTCATTGGGTCATCACCCAGAGCAACGTCAGTGCCACCTGAAACTCTTTATTCTTTTGACACTTCTGATATTAATGACTATGGTGGTAAGGGTTTGTGTTTTGTCTTCTTTTTACTCTCTTCTGTCTTTACTGTCCTGTGTTTGAGAAATCACTTGGGCTTTGAATGTGTTTTGAAGTTGATTATAGAATTTAATGGAAATACAGTACATGTATGTGTTTGACTCTAAGAAAATACAGAAATTAAACTGATGCATTTAACTGGAATTAGAAAAAAAAAACAAAAAAAAAACAAGCGGCTATTGGAACTTGATGTGCAATCATTCCATATTACTGAACAGAACATTGCTACCAAATTAAAAAGATGTAAAGAAAAAAGGTGACAATGTTTATACTTGTGATTGCATATGAAAGAATTGCATGGGCTGCCCTCTGTCTGAAGTGTTATTGTGGTGCTGTGTCTTGTGTCATGCTCTTTGTGTTTATGATCTGACAAGAAGGACTGGATATTTTTGAACATGAATAAATAACTGTATAATAATATAAGTGTTCACAGATTGTAGTAGTTGTTGTTTTATTGACCTGAATGAATTATTGTTAAAAAGAATTAATGATAAACCATAAGATGTGGAAGGTGATCTAATTCATTTTGGCCAGAAACATTTTCAGAATGAAGAGAATTATTTTCTAACATAGAAACACAACATCATTCCAGCTCCACCAGAGTTCCTGCCTCACAAGCCCACCATCTGTGATTACCATGGTGATTCTTTCAAACTGTCATGGTCACCAGCGCAGACGTCAGATAAGGGTATCCCATCAGCCATCACTTACATTGTGGAATGTCGGGAGCCACATCACACTGACTGGAGACAGCTTGCCTCCAATCTAACTGATTTCTGTTATACTGTGAGAGGACTGGATAAGAACAAGGACTACATACTGCGTGTGAGGCCGGAGAATGAGTTTGGAATTGGCGAACCAACCTTACCAGTATCCACATACTTGTTCAGAAAACCAGGTAAGAATTTACTGCTTGAAAGGAAAGAGAAGAAAAACTCTTCTTGATATTTGTTTAGGACATATTCCCAACTTTATCAGTTATTTTTACGGTTGGTAGCCATGTTTGTTGCTGGACCATTCTTGGGTATATGTTTTACCTGTTCTCATGGATACCTGTGTGAGCATCATGCTCTGAAATTTTAAGGGTGATCACAGACAGAAATGCAGCATTCCTGAGAACTGACAACAAATTGTCGGATATAGATGAATTCTTTCCTCCCACAAAACATTCTCTTAGAGTATATACCAATGTTTAGCTGTCAGGTTACTTTTCCATATGCTATTTCCTATGCACAAATGACTATACTCTGTACATCTAATTCATCTTCTTTTGTAATAATATTGCACATCTTACCCTTCCTCTACTTTCCCTTGCACAGATAAGGAAGACTATGGACTATATTACAAACCAAGAAAGGGTAAGTGGCATTGAGGATGAAATATAATATGTTTTAGGTGTAGAAATGTAGTAGACTCAGAGGCTTTATTATGTTTTACCCATGCAGTCTATATGACAGACATATTTATCCATAAAATTTGGATAAACCATTTCTTTGATTTCAGATTTCTCAGAAATATTGGCTGCGATGCTCCTAATGTATAGAGAATCTTGCATATTTGACTCTGTTTAGCAGTGATCATAACAAATGTAACTAATCCCCTTCAATACAAATATAGCCAATTGCTTTATATAGTTTCCATCATAACAACATGCTTAGGACTAAGATTATTTGATTTCTATACAACAGACATGCGTACTTAACACAGCTGTCTAATGCTAGCTAGCTAGATGCATGCCTGTCTCTTCCTGTCCTTTTAGCCCCAGTCTTTTTCATCGACAAACCACGAGTCTCCAGATACGACGGCAGGCGAGCAGAGCTCAGCTGGTCACCTCCTAGCACACTACCCATCTATAGACCCCCAAAGCGCTACTCTTACGTCGTTGAGTTTGCTGATCCTTCTCTCAATGACTGGAAACCCCTTACAAGGGGTCTGCATGATAATAGATATGTCATAAGGGATCTGAGGCCCGATAAGGAATATTTGTATAGAATAATAGCAGAAACTGAACGTGGTGTCAGTGAACCCACATCTCCTGTTGCGATCAAGGGAGCTGCAAGACGAGGTAAGTTTGACACTGCCTGTTGATTTCAAGTGTCATTGTTGATGATGGGAAAATATTCTTGAAAATTTTTTTTTTTAAATCAACTTAAAGAGACTGTTCAGGGTTTGTTATTGCCTTATGTTTATTTATGTCTAAATGCCTAAAGGCATGTTGCATCTCTTTTAAGTACTGAAATAATGTATCATAATAACATGTATTTAATGAAAAAAAAAATGCAAAGAATGCATGTAACCATATACTTGGCTTGGTTAAGGAAAAAGAACTGTTCAAACATGCAATAGAGTGTGGTTTTTTATCCAGCAGAGTGATGGTTGACAAGAAAATTTGTTGAATAATTTTTTGTCCCAAAATTGTATATGCTGTCCTCTTTGTGTTCAAACCTAAAAACTACATTCATTGCTCCAAATTATGAATCATGTGCAACTATTAACAAAGTGTATTTTGATATTAAACACTTATTTTTGTATTGATCTACAGTAAATCTGTATGATATATACTAGGCTTGTCTAACATGAATAAGTAGTTTAGACATAGGAAATAGTGCTGTAGTATCTTATATTTCTATCTGTAATTAGTTGAATGAATACTAAATCTAACAACTGATTCCAATTATGCATTGAATCAACATACTGTATCTTTATTATTGGTAAAGTAATTTTTACAATTCATTGGTGCTAATTTTGCATTGATTCAGCATTTCCATAATATTTTTTGTAAAGAAATATTTATTTTCATTCTGTTATCCTTTGATTAATAAACCAAAACTAAACTTAGCTTTATAAATTGAACTTATACTGTATAAATAGACCTTTATTTGAAGTGTACAGTGAAATGTATTATTTGCACTTTTTGAAAGTGTAAAATGAGTACATTTAGCAGTGAACAGAACAATATAAACAAACTTTAACTTTAAAGCCACAGAAATGTGTTTTAACTCTCTGTTTCTTCTGTCCACATTCCCACTGGTTCTCCCATTCCTTACAGCTTCTCTCCCTGCTCACATGAGGGATGAGTACTCTCCAAGAAGCAGATCCTACTCTCCAACCACTGCTGGCAGATCCCCTCTGACTAAAATAACAGGTAGAAAGCTATAATATTCAGCTTTAGATGGGTAGCTCAATATTGAAATATAGGCTCTTAATATTGGACAGACTCATGCATTTAAAAGACTAATTTTTATCAATTTTCAGATAATCTTGAACAGTGCCAAGAAGTTTGTTTCATTTTTTTGCTCAGAAGTTTGCACTATCAGTTTTATAGCTATTAAATTTGATAATATATAATTGTAATATTTATAACTGCATATTGAGAGAGGTGAATAGCCTGCTATATGATGGAGAGAGAGAGAGAGAGAGAAACATGTACAAAGTAACAATTTGAAAGAACTTCTTTTGGTGTGCTGTTATTATTCTTGTTTATATTCATTTTAGAGAGAGATCTTCCCCCACTCCCTCGTTCTCACTCACTGGATGCAAGACCCACTCAGACCTCTACTGAGAGACCTTATGCATCATCAGGAAGATCCTACTCTAGCACTGAGAGATCTTACTCCCCTGTTGGCAGATCCTATACTCCTGTTGATAGGTCCTACTCACCAGCTGGTCGATCTTACTCTCCAACTGGGAGATCTTACTCTCCAATCAGAAGTACCTATTCGCCAGCTGTCCGCTCCTACTCTCCCACCAGTAGAACTAAAGGTTAGATGGGTTTGCTGTCAAATCTGTGATACTTTCATTTCTTTCACACCTACCACACTTAACTGTTACATTTAACACATTTTACTGAAATGCCATGTGTACCACACTTCACTTTCACTGCAACTTTTGATTGTCACATCTACCGCAGTTTACTTTTACATTGTCATTTATACCACAGTTTACTGCCATGCTTAATTCATTTTATCTATCATTTTTTCCAGTCTATGTTGCACTATTGACCATAATGATGATCATATTTTCTGTGTTAAACTTTTCTGTGCTTTAACTCACTATTGTTTTACAGACTATGAAAGATCCTATACCCCATCCCCATTGGCTTCTGGCAGAAGAGGTAATTTCATCTGTTTGTTTCATGTGGAGCAGTTACATTTGCTTCTGACAGACTTGTATATGTACACTTAATTGTTGTGTNAATTTTTACAATTCATTGGTGCTAATTTTGCATTGATTCAGCATTTCCATAATATTTTTTGTAAAGAAATATTTATTTTCATTCTGTTATCCTTTGATTAATAAACCAAAACTAAACTTAGCTTTATAAATTGAACTTATACTGTATAAATAGACCTTTATTTGAAGTGTACAGTGAAATGTATTATTTGCACTTTTTGAAAGTGTAAAATGAGTACATTTAGCAGTGAACAGAACAATATAAACAAACTTTAACTTTAAAGCCACAGAAATGTGTTTTAACTCTCTGTTTCTTCTGTCCACATTCCCACTGGTTCTCCCATTCCTTACAGCTTCTCTCCCTGCTCACATGAGGGATGAGTACTCTCCAAGAAGCAGATCCTACTCTCCAACCACTGCTGGCAGATCCCCTCTGACTAAAATAACAGGTAGAAAGCTATAATATTCAGCTTTAGATGGGTAGCTCAATATTGAAATATAGGCTCTTAATATTGGACAGACTCATGCATTTAAAAGACTAATTTTTATCAATTTTCAGATAATCTTGAACAGTGCCAAGAAGTTTGTTTCATTTTTTTGCTCAGAAGTTTGCACTATCAGTTTTATAGCTATTAAATTTGATAATATATAATTGTAATATTTATAACTGCATATTGAGAGAGGTGAATAGCCTGCTATATGATGGAGAGAGAGAGAGAGAGAGAAACATGTACAAAGTAACAATTTGAAAGAACTTCTTTTGGTGTGCTGTTATTATTCTTGTTTATATTCATTTTAGAGAGAGATCTTCCCCCACTCCCTCGTTCTCACTCACTGGATGCAAGACCCACTCAGACCTCTACTGAGAGACCTTATGCATCATCAGGAAGATCCTACTCTAGCACTGAGAGATCTTACTCCCCTGTTGGCAGATCCTATACTCCTGTTGATAGGTCCTACTCACCAGCTGGTCGATCTTACTCTCCAACTGGGAGATCTTACTCTCCAATCAGAAGTACCTATTCGCCAGCTGTCCGCTCCTACTCTCCCACCAGTAGAACTAAAGGTTAGATGGGTTTGCTGTCAAATCTGTGATACTTTCATTTCTTTCACACCTACCACACTTAACTGTTACATTTAACACATTTTACTGAAATGCCATGTGTACCACACTTCACTTTCACTGCAACTTTTGATTGTCACATCTACCGCAGTTTACTTTTACATTGTCATTTATACCACAGTTTACTGCCATGCTTAATTCATTTTATCTATCATTTTTTCCAGTCTATGTTGCACTATTGACCATAATGATGATCATATTTTCTGTGTTAAACTTTTCTGTGCTTTAACTCACTATTGTTTTACAGACTATGAAAGATCCTATACCCCATCCCCATTGGCTTCTGGCAGAAGAGGTAATTTCATCTGTTTGTTTCATGTGGAGCAGTTACATTTGCTTCTGACAGACTTGTATATGTACACTTAATTGTTGTGTTCTCTATACATTTTATCTTTTAGATTGTTAAGAAAGTGTAAATATAATATAGAGTGCTTGACTTGTTCTAGGGATATGTCACAGTATTTGACAAAAATGTCATATTATTTATATTCTGACGTCTTGGTACATTTTCATGTATTAGGTTCCATTAGGTTTTAGATAATTTTTAACGTTCAAGTTTTAGTCATAGAATTTAATGCTCTCATGCTTTTTTTTTTTTTTTTTGTAAAATTTATCACCGAGTCATGGCACGTACATGTGTGTTATAACAATGCAACTTTTCTGGATTTATTTAATTCCTTACTTTAGAGAGCACATCTCTGTCACCCACCACCTGCACATGCTCTGTTCTTCTCTATTATAGCAAGTTTACCTTCCGTTTCTCCATTGCCAACTATCAAGAAAACAGACAAATGTAAGATTACTGCACTTTTAGAAAAAATATATTGCTTAAGAATATGGTTTATGTATTTTTGGCACTCATTATTATTTTGTTTGATTTTTCATTACATATTTATTTGTACATTACGTTTAATTATTTTTTTACCTGTCATTTTGGAGCTATGCAGCATTAATTCTAATGATGAATTCAGTTGTATTTTGAGAAATAATTTTTGTTTTATTTATTTATTTATTTATTTATTGTCTTTGAATCAAATAAACTCTAGGAATTTTCACGTCTTTTCCAAATGCTGTATGACTGACATGTGTCATTTATTCCCCTTTCAGACTCCACCCACCACTACACCCCTCCCACCAAACCTCCCCTTACCACCGACAGACCATTCTCAGGTAATGTATCTGTTTGTTTGTTTTTCAGTGAAACACTCACTTTTTGTTTAAGCATTTTCAGTAACACAATGAGCAAAGTTTGAGTCTTAACAGGAATTTTCATTCAGATATGTTATACATCAGGAACATTGGCTGTGAAATATGTTGATGTTATACTTTGTTTTCTTTTATTCTGTCACTCAGAGATAACACTGACACATTGTACCCTGCTTTCAAACACAATAATAAATTCAGATGACTAAAATTTTGGTTCAGCAGTGTTAGGAGGTATAAACTTGCATGTAGAAGCTTCAAAACTCTAAATGTCAAAGAACATGTTTATAATTCTCACTGCTTTTTGACTGATGAGATGAGTATCACTGTATGTGCTGTTCATTGCTGCTATGTTAAAAAGGCTTCCATGTAATTTATACATGTATAATTCATGTTGAAACTAGCTGGTTTCAAACTTTATAATGCTCTTGCAATCTCGCTATATTTTTAGCTAGTAATATTCCCACTCCCTCTGTTGTAGCTGTTGTTGTATAATATGTTAATGTATAATATTTCAAGCTGCTTTCTCAGCACCTGTAAATTTAAAATGTCTATATGTTCATTCCCTGCAGTTTAAGCACTTATAGCAGTTCTACTACATGTAGCTTGCTGTTTTTGATCTATACTTCACACTTATATGAGTTTAGCTCTCTTATCACAGTGGATTTCATCTCACTATATATATATATTTATATGTTCTGCATCTTCCTATTTTGTCACCCCATTGCAGCTAAAACCTGGTTACTGCTAGATAAATACACTAAACCCTTGCCGCCTAGCTCTACACGGTCCAGAGGTAAAGTTATTCACTTTTGTAGTGTTATATGCACTGCATGGGCTGTAGAATGACAGGCAATAATGAAGATGAAGATTTTAAGGACATCCATATAACTTTGAGAAATAAAAATTTAATTTACATTTAGTTCTTAAGTCATCTCTGAATAACTCTACAGATGGCCTTAAGTTGCAAAAATCATCTTTGTTAAGACCAATTAATTTTTAAAATGTGATTTAGTAACATATGTCTAAACAAGTTTTAATTTTTGATTCATACTTATAAGTACCTGTTGCAAAATAATATATGAAAAAAACATTATTTCTTCTTTCATGTCTGTCAATTTATTGATCCCATGACTTTATTTATTGCTTACAGACTACTTAGTTTCATCATTGTTTATCTTTGTCTGTATGCTCTGTTATTATTGTCTTTTTTAAATCTACTTGTCTGTTTTATATTCTTTCCTTCTCATATTTTCTTTTAATCTCATATCAGTTGACCTTTTTTATCATATTTTTCATGTTATTATATAGAATTGCAAATTTTGAGGCTTTCCATTCTTATTCACATAGTGGAAATGCTGTTCAAAAATTAATGCAACTAAAACCACCAAGTTTTTTAAAACTAGTTGGAGGATGGATTCTGTAGATGATAAAACAATTATATAGGTCAACAGCTGAAAGTCCCAGATTATCTTGGACTGCTATATTTAAAATATACCATTTTTTACTCATCTTATTCTATACATTTTAGTCAGTTACATGTACTTCAGGTTGGAGAGTAGTATTGCACTGTTATAGATATCTATTTGAAATCAGATGATGTCAGGTGAAACTCAGTTTTCATTTCATGTAAAATATATGACGTAAAAGGACATCTTGCCCTCTGTACCCCCTTGCCACCTTAGCTAGTCTGTTCACTTTATCATGTTCTCCTTACCTTCCCTCTTTCAGAATACACACCAAGTTCTTCAAGGCATAGAAGGAGAGGTACATGAAGTGGTTTTTATATTTTTCTTCTCATAATGAGATTAGAAAATATAATAATGGTGATAATTTTACAAGCCAAAATAAGAAAAGACTTATTGCACCCAGTTTATTTTGAGTTATTGAATAGTACCATTAAGTTATTTTTTTTCGTTAATTTCCATCCGATTCTGTAATCATTTAATTAGAGGTAAGGAATAGACACAACCCTGAGAATTTCCATATTTTTACACTTTTTAGTTTCACCACCATTAATTATTTATTTAGATATTTTTAAACCAGCCCTATTAATACTAGCATTATACTACACACTGTTCAACCTCGTAGTGGTCTTCACACCAACATTCTATATTTTTCTGTAGCCTCGGAACCTGCTGTCCGTCACCCTGTCTCCACTACCACCACTTACATCAGAGGTAAAAAGTTTTCAACTCTTGCATGCATCACTTCTATTCTGTTGTCTTAGACTACTTGTATTTGAACCTCACTGTTCTTTATAATATGGCTAGTGAGAAAAGGGGAACATTTAAGTACTAGACCAATACTGTTAGAGGGATAATTTACTTGCATTTTTGGTGCTTATTATTATTGTTATTTATTTATTTATTCATTTATTTTAGACTTCATTTTGACCTTTTAACCAATATACAGCAAATATCTTGTAATGAGGCGTGTAATGTTCTTTCTGAATATAGCAGTTTTTCTATCCCATCCCTTATCTTCATCATCTTTTAGATTATTCTCCCTCTACCTATACCCCACACACAGGACCCTCCACATTTAGGGTGAAGAAATATACTGGTGAGTTTTATATCTTTTTCTTCAACATATCTTCATAAACTGGAGTATGTTTTTCTCTTTAGAAAGCAGATTTATTAATGTTTTATTCTTTATAGAAACCTTTGGCACTGTTTATTTCCGTCTTTTCTTATCAAACCATTTGATTAATAGCACATGCACTACTAGTTACCCTACTTCACTGTTTCAGACTTCTCTCCCACCCCTCCTCCATCCTCCAGAAAAACCAAGTCCAGGTCCAGAGGTAATGTATTCCTCTTTCAGTTGTGTCAGCACTGTTTTACCTAACACACTGAACACAATTGTTGTAACATATTGCTGTCTCAACTAACACAATCAGAACAATTTAGAAAACCATATTTTGAAATGCTATTTGAA